GGAAAGCACCAAGGACTCCACAGTTCAACCCTGAGCTACAGATATTCTCTTCTATTGGAACCACATATGGGCATCAAATGCTTTAGAAAGCATGCAAATGGGAGAAATTTGCATGCAGGTAAATCTCTACCAAGGAATGTTCTTTCTGCACAAATGCCTATGACAGCATGCCCTGCCCACCAGCATCAGATACAAACTTCCAATAAACTGCATAGCTGGATGGAAAATAGCTTAACAAAGTGGCCTAAAAATGATACAGCTAATGATCATGGATGCTCACCTCAGACTAAACAAATACCAGCACACCATAGATAACCTCAAGGAGCAAATGGAACAAACCATGACCTCAGAACACACAAAAGTGCTATATCTACTACATGCATACTACATACTACATCTCTAAGACAAGCTGAAAAAAGGAATACATAATTCCAAACCAAACTGCTCAAGCTAAATCCCAGAAGCAGAGAGGTACCTGAACACAAATGGGCAGTCAACATGTCCAGCCACCCAATATCCACCGCAGAACATAATATCCTCCAGAAAGGCCTCAACTATAACATAGATGATGCTAATCAGTTAGAATTCTTTGCAGCCTTAGAAGCAGCATTTAAAACCACAGGACTTGCCACAGAGACCCAAGGAAACATAAGGCAGACAATCATACCACAGACCAAAAGAACACAGAATCGGAGCCAACTCAAAGCAAAGGACAGAGCAACCCTCAAGAAGGACCAGACTATCACTATCCTCCCAGCAGACAAAGGCTGAACCACGGTTATCATGGATAGAAAGCAATACATACAAAAAGCCAAAGAATTACTGGAGGACAAAGAAACCTACATTCCAGGAAACACCAACCCAATACAGAAACTAGATAACCTGATCAAGAAAACCCTTAACAACCTAACCAAGAAAGGTCAAATCACAGAAGAACAGTGACAGATGAAAAACAATAGACCCATCCTCACATGCTTCTATGGACACTTAAACATACACAAGCCCGACATACCCTTTTCATCCAATTGTATCCTTACAAGGGACCCCAACATACAACATAGCCAAAGATCTTACAAAAAAGCTTGGACATCTCACAGAGGGGAGTGAATATTTTATCAACTCCCCACTACAGTGCTGCCAGAAAATCATAAACATAGAAGAAAATGAAATTATGGTTTCATTAGATGTCACAGCACTCCTTACATCCATAGATCCAGAACTAGTGAAAGAATCCATGGCAGCGGTGCTACACAACACACCTGACCTAGCCATGGTTGAAACACCCAGAATCATGGACCTCATCAACCTCTGCCCCACTACCTACTTTCAGTTTGATAGACAAATATACCAACAAATCAGAGTAACACCCATGTGATCACCACTCTCAGGACTCATAGCAAAGAGTATAATGCAGCATCTAGAAACTATAGCACTCCCACACATACAACCAAAAGTATGAATCCAGTATGTAGATGACACCTTCGTCATAATAAAAAAGGAACAACTAGAGAAGATACAGGAAACAGTCAACAACATGTTCAAAGGAATAAAATTCACAAGGGAAGAAGAAAACACTACCCTTTCTGGATATCCTCATCAGCAGATGAAACAATGGCAAATTAGAAATGCAAGTCTATTGAAAAACAACCTACACTAACCAAGTGCTCCATTACCAAAGTAACAACCCAACCTCCCACAAGTGGAGTGTGTAAGAACATTATTCAGATGAGTACAAACACACTGCAGCAACCCAGAACACCAGAAAAAGGAAACGGACCACCTAAACTACATTGTTGAACAAAATGGATACTTTATCAACAAGTGCCTGACCACTCAACCCAGTACAGCACAACCAACACAAGCTATGACAAAGATAACACTACCATACATTAAAAACATCCCAGGAAGAACAGACTATTACAACCACATGGCATCACTGTTGCACACAAACCAACTAAAGATCTCCAAAGCATCTTAAGTAAACCAAAAGACCCAGCAGCCCAAGAAGAAAAAACAGGAGTCATCTACAACATGCAGTGT